GAGCTTATGTTTTCTAAGCTCTTACTCTTAGTTCTAAATTGTGTTTAATGAAATAATTGAAATATACAGACTATAAATAATACTGTTTATCACTTTGCAAAAACAAAAAATTTAAAAAGGACAAGTAACATGTATCAAAAATGATTAAATTGTATTTCACACAGGACTGAATAAAATTATTAGTGATTTTTAAGAATATTTAATGACACATGAACATTTTCACAATATGATAAGTGAAAAAGGCTGAATCAAAACTAAAATACATATAATGTCAATTTTTAAAATTATGTATAAATTTTAAGGCATGTATAAGATAAAGTTTAGTAAGAAATGTTACCAAAATATTTGCTGGGGTGATTGCTGAATGGTGAGGTTATTAATAATTTTTATCATCATTATAATTTCCGGGAAGCTCTGGGCAGCAGATTTGACAAAAAGCTCTTCCCACTGCCCCACCCAATCACTCAATACAAAGCAAAGCTTAAGCACACTCTGGCTAAATATGTTGCTTTTCTTTGAGTCATAAAAAAGTCTTCCTTGCCTAACATTTTCATTGTCATTCACAAGTTTGAATTAATTTTTAAGTCAGGAAAAAACTCAAGTTAACAATTCTTTAGGGTTAAAATGACAATCACGATCAAGAGTGCAATTGTGTCATCATGCAGCAAGCCCCATTGGGTTCGTATGCCACTATACCTGGACAAACATACCTTTTCAGTCTTCAAATCTTTAGTGTTAAACTTAGTGTAATCTTCTTTTGCTTCTACGGGCTCATGTGATAACTTTACTTTCTGCAATTCAGAGCAATGAAGTGGGGTCAAATGTCACCTTGACACTTAGACCATGCATTCAAAAAAAGTTAAATTTGGACCTACTTTGAGGCAACAGACCATGCAAAAGGCTTACTTTTTATGTGCTCCTTCACATTTTGCTAGTTATCTGGGAACAAAGTTGCACATCCCTTCTGAGAAGCAGCTTTGGTAAACGGGGGAAAATGACTAGTTAAGTCTATGAGCCACCTTCTTGGACAATCTATAGTAACACTGACCATATATTTTGCATGCACCGAGACAGAGCACATCTCGGTGACTACTGACTTCAAGGACAGTCTAAGGAGGTGAAGCAGGCAAACAAGTCAAGCCAAGCATTCTCTCCAGGGGGGTACCAGGAGGCCAGTCAGATTCACCACTTCATTCACCTCCTGGACTGATTTAATGCCCATGTAGGACTATAGGAATGGCATCATTCTATCACCTTTGTATAGTTTCATGTTCTTATCTCTTTGCAACCCAATTATCTAAAAATTTTTTTAAGATTTATTTATTTATTTATATAAGCACTGGGTACAGTCAGAAGCGCAGGAGGGTGAGAGAATTCACCAGAGCCAGAGCGGGGAGCAGAACAGGCAGACTGATGAAATACACTGCTGAGGGGAGCAGCGAGCGCAGCAGGAGAGGTCTGCGCGCCACATGGGACCCTTGCCGGGGATCAAATCAGCGCTGCAGAGGCTGCAGGCAGCTTCACAGCCCAGCGCTCAACTGCTGCGCCACCGGGGAGGCCCCCAATTATCTAATTTTATCCACACAGAACAACCTGGTAAAGAAAGCAGTGACAAGGAGAAGGAAGCACATAGAGATTAAATGAATAGCTTCAGGTCACCTAGCAGAAGACTTGGAGACAAATCTCAATTTTTATACCAAGTGCTCTTTAATTAGGTCCTGTGCAACAAAGTCAGTCTTTATTTCATATTTTCACCTTTCACACCAGCACATTGTACCAATGAATGTGAGAATCTTGTCAAGAACTAGACTGTAGCTTTAATGTTCATAACTTAGAAGGAATAGTGATACATGTAGAAGGCACATAGCAGATAAGCCTTGATGGTTAACATAGAGAATTAGCTACATGGTGATCAGATGAACATAGTTTAAAAAAATTCAAGTTCTTTGTGGAGATACCAGGTTAACAAGACCCAAAATGAATTGGTTGGAAGGAATGCATATTTATTACCAGTTACATTCTTCATACCCCAGTTTTTGCCAAACAAAGAACTGGTAGAATTGATGCTAAAAGATGTCATAGCACATATAACACGAAGGGATAAAATGACATGCCAGGGCATCCTGGAATATATCACACAATGTGGGAAAGACTTCTCATGGCAATGCATCAACTTCTAGTAAGTTAATTTTAAAAAGAAAAAGACTAATTTATCTTGTATAAATGACCTACCATACAAATGAAATGTATAGATGAAACTTTCTTAAGATCTGTTTCTGTACTTTTCTGTCCCTTTCCCTAATAAACCTGCCCTTTAAATATATTTAAAAATATATGTTTCTGCAAAAGGTATGTAGGTAATGTGTATTTTTAATAGAAAATTACCTTTAAGCAGGAGAGTAGAACTCACAGGTAATAATGATGAAGGCTATAATTTCAAATCACAAAAAGCTTAGAAGTTATAAGGATGCTTTTTGTGTTCCTTCTGGGTGGCAAAATATCCCTGATACAGATGTGATTATAAACAATTGTATATGTTTACTTTTCACTGATAAGTCAATTAAAAAATATTTATGGTGGGAGCTTAATCTGAAAGTTGCTTCCTAATAAAGGTAAAACATTTAATAAGATGACTAACTTGTTCACATGTTTTAATGGCTCATTCTCAAGATACCAGTTATATGTGATGACCAAACAACAACAAAAATGCTTGTGGTAGCTTCTGCACATACCTAGGTTTTATGTTATTCCTAGCATGTTTTTGAGTATGTTGGGAAAAACATAATTGTTAAACAATTTTTGTTATTTAAATGACCAAATCAGTACAGATTTGAAAAAAGTGTTTAAGAAATAATGTGGATCAGAAAGACAGTAACAAAGCATATGACTAAATAGGTATTGGTGTGAAGTGAAATGAGAAGAGCAGAAGGCCAAAGGAATGAGTGCTAGGACTGCTCTTATAAATGACTTGAAAGAAGGAACTCAGGAGCACCTCCAAATCCACTGATTACATTCAGCTCTGGCAGTTCACAGTGATAAATTTAAAAGACTGAAGGGAGTAAAGGTTGGAAGCTAAGCTTCAACATAGACAAACATAATAATAAGAGAAAAATAATGCAGAACACATTAAGGATGACAAGTTCCAGGCTATCGATTACAATACAGACACAAAGATATGTAATAGCTGCTAGAACCTATTTCCTGAAAACAATCAACTATATTACTGTAAAAATCAATCAAATCCTAGACAGACAGGAGAGCTAGCAGAAAACATTATCCTTCACTTGTTTAAAACTATAGTACCTCATCTAGTCCAGATTGTAAGAGGTACACTGGAGCCCCAGGAAGACATGATAAAGTAGGCGATGACCTCAAAAAGCAACTAATTCAGAAGATGAAGCTGAGATTTAGAAGAAAGAAGATGTTGAGATCTAAATCAGGGTTTGGCAAACTGCAGCCCACGGGCCAAAGGCAGCCGCTGCCTGTCTTTATTAGTGACGTGTTACTGGATCACGGCCGTGCTGATTCATTTATGAATATCTGTGACTGTCTCTGCTGTAATTGCAGGGCTAAGCAGCTGTGACAGAGACCATCTGCTTCATGAAGCCTAAAATATTTATCATCTGGCCTTTAAAGAAGTTTGCTCACCCTTGATCTAAGTCATAAATAAAGAAATCACAAATTAAAATGAGAAAATAGAAAACTGAGTCAGAAAAAATAAAATTATGAAACACCTTACTCCAGAAAGTATCAAAGGCTAAAATCTTCAAGAACAAGTTTGGGTCCATTCATGAACTAACTCTAAGTTACTAAGGAAAACAGATATTTGGGAGAAAGAAATAAGCTTACTTTTTCTAGAGAAAGAGAAAAATAAATAAGTCAATATGTGTATCTTTTTAGTTACAAGACAACTGTGTCTCTGTCACCTAGAGCTACTGTCAGAGGTTAACTTCACATGGGTCTGACCTACAGTAGCTTCTTAGATCGCATAGCAACTGACTTGACTTCTGCTCAGTGCTTCTTCTCCAGAGCAGAAAATATAACACTCCTTTGAAAATCTGCTGAACATGGCCCACAGCTAACACTGATGCACTTTAAATTTTCAGTCCTTTTCCCGACAAAGTAACGTATGTTTTTGAAGCCACCACTACCTCCAAACAGGATATGATACAAAAGAATTCTGAGTATGTTGGCCACCTTGAAGGCAGGAAAAAAGGAAAGTTGTTTAACATCCGTTAAGTGTCCAGTGTCCATTCTCAAGGCATTCATTATTTTGTTGGTTGGAGAATGACCTCACTGACAAGCTAGTGCTATTGTTCACTTTACTTTCCTCAGGTCTCACTAGTCTGAAAGTCAGGCCTGGACTGAGGGATGCTACGCTTTCCATCAGGAGTGGTTTATGACTAGTTTCTCTACTTTCCACATTTGGGAATAAACACAGATTGCAGTCCTGATATCAAAGAGCAAAGGGTGGCAATATGGGAATATCTGGAAGGGGAAAGGTTTTCCACTAACAGAGATAAAGATCACACACAAATTGCATTGCTCATTTCAAGCACATAAAAAAAAAGAGTGGTCATCCTTGCCCTAAAGATTCTTTGTGTCACAAAAAAAAACATGCTCTGTGCTCATTCGTGTCAGTAAAAATTCGATTTGGCAAAATGAATTTTAGTTATACAGAGTGTTCCTGGTGATTAATAGAGTTAATTACATCTAGATGACTTAATATTAGTTTTATATATACATAATAATTTTACATAGGTATAAAGATAAAACTAACTCTTACTTGGTTTTCCTAACACTGTATTTACATTAAGGTAAGAGCTACAAAACTAAAATACATTGGCGGAGAGCCTATTATTATAATTGATATTCCACAAAACATCCCTCTGTACAGGTGGAATAGTATGCTTTAGAATATACCAGAAGAAACTATAGTTAGTGGTAAAAGTATACTATTTTTCTAAGTCCCCAAAAATATCTTAGTCACATCTTTTTACCTTTGATGGAGGGGCTGACAATGGAGGTGGAGTTTCTGGAAGTCTAAGGAAGTGAAAGATAAGAATCATAATCATGATTTTTCATAGACGAGCACACAAAAAGACTGGGCCAACTTAAAACTTAGTGAGTCCCGCTTTCATCCAATAGTGTCACCTTCACACACATCTCACTGTACAATCACCTCAGTATGAAGAATGAAATTTCTCTAAATGAAAACCTCTTCATTGGGCTACTTAATTCCTTATATGGAATTGTTTGAACTAAGAAATAAAATTAGAACCCATTTGTTGAAATGGAATTGCTTTTATTTAGTTCTTATAAAATTGCATTTTGTCATTGGAGTCTTTTTTTCTTCATAAATGATGAAATCTAGCATGTATATTTTACAAGTGAAAACTATTTGAACTACTGGCAAAAAGTCACACAAACTTTATCTTTTCTTCTATTAAAGAGAAATTTAATGGACATATCTTTCTCTCCAAATCTTTAATCAAAATATAAAAATTTCAGTGGAAAGAAAAACATCCAAAAAATAATGGAATACGAAGACATATGTTCTCTAGTAAGACAAGAAGTACATGAAGATATTAAACTGAAGGATATGATTATTAGTTTAAAGCTAGCTTTCAACACACTTTACTATAGATACCACCTTCTACTAATTTTTTTAAGTGGGACCTATGTAATTTGCTAAAAATAGCAAGTAAATCTATTTAAAAGTCATTTTATTTTATGGATTGGAGGAGAAAAAGAATTTATAAGGACCAGGAAAATCTATTAAATTATCACACAGAAAAAATGTGAACAGTTGCTAAGATCCGAAAAATAGATTTTTTTCATCCTAAAGCCAACTGTTTATATTATATTAAAGATCTTCATGAAGAAAGGAACACAAATCAAGTCATTCTCAAACCCCTCTCTCAAAGACAGATTGTGTTTCAAACTTCTTTAGCTCTAAATACTGGTCATAATAAAGGTTATTAGTGAACATCTCATAACAGTGAAAATGATATTAAACCTTTCCATGTAATTTGCAAAAATATTTTACATGCCATTTACTCTTTCTGCTGTCATTTCTATAAATGCTCACAAAGACTTTAATTAATAAGATCTAACCGGGGTCAAAATTGTAACAGTTTTACCACCTGAAATCACACCAACCTATCATTCCAATCTAATACTCACAAGTTCCCACTATCAGTATCCACCAAATCAATTTATTCCAATCAATGTCCATTAAAAATTTTCCGCAGACCATACAGTCTATAACATAATTGCTAATAATCTCTTATCAGAAACAGATACAAGCCATAAAAAAAATAAAGTGCTAGGGAAAACAAGAAGAACAAAATTATTTACTAAATATGACAAGAGACATGCAATACTTACTTTAAATATTTAGATAAATCATCACTTAATTCTTTAGGGATGTAATCAGATATCAGGCCATGGGCATAACGAATATAATCCTCTGAAAGAAACAGAATGTAGCATGAAGGAAAAAAAATTAGGAATAATCATGGCAGTTTTATAATTAGATCATCCAGTTTTCAAATTCTGATTTTTATTTAGCCTTAACTTCAGTTTCATCATCTGTAAAGTGGGGGTGCTAGTACCTGTCTGTCAGAGTAGTGGAGTGATATTATGGATAAGATATGACATAGGATGATATTGAATCCGAGGGCAAGTTAGGGAGAATTAGGCAGCCTCAAGGACAGTGCAGGTGGGGACCTCGGGAGAATCAAGGAAGGCTTCAGAGATAAGGGCAACAAGAGGAATGTAACTAATTCCGCTGGGAATAATAAACATTCCAAGACTAAGGTCAACATTGTTACCAAACGCTGGCCTAAGTTTCCCTCAGCTAATAAAGGGAGGTGGAATTTGGGAAAAGGAGAGTGGTTTAATTTGTTGACAAATTAGGAAGGCAGCAGACTCATATCTGAAAGACCACTGTCCTGCCCTTTGACAGAGTGCAGGGATATTTATGCAAAGGGGAGATGAGAAGGGGTCAGCACTGAGACCAGTGGGCACCAGCCTGTTTTTCTTCAACAGCTGATGTTTGACTTTCTCTTCCCTAAAATGCAGGGGCGCTCATTTGGGAGACTGGGTCATAAAGATAAATCTATCAAACAAGGAGGAAGATGCAACAAATGGGGAAAGACAAACCTGTTAGATAAGGAATGTAAAGATCCCCTGCTCAGTAGCAAATTAAGTGAGACAACCGAGAATTAACCAATCACAGAGAGACTGGTGGAGCTTTAGAATAATAAGGGAAAGAAGGTATATATTCCCTGAGACACAACTGCACTTTGGCTTCCTTGCCCCTCCCTGGCCTGGTTTCAGGGCCTAGGAGTCCCACTTTATTTCTGTTCTTTTTCTCTTCAATAAACTTTTTCTTTCTCTAAACAAACCAGCCTCTTCTCACTTGCTTGCTTGAGAGTCTGCAAAGTTCCTGCTGCGGCTTCGTGAGACACCAACTTGTGGTGGTCTAGTGGCTGGGACTCAGCGCTGCACCTGCAGCCTGGGATCTGTTCCTGACTGGGAGACTAGGCCTGACAATTCTGGTATCAATATCAAAGATATGATGATAATGCAAGCATAATATAGTAATATCCACTAAATGATAGTTAAAACAAAAATTCAAGGTTGTTTTCTTAGTTGAGATCCTCGAATACAAATAAAGTTCAGAAATCAGCTATAACAAATGAAATATTCATATCTTTTTAAAAGGCTAATCTTTCCTAGGTCTGTTTCAATAGAGAATAAATTCAACTAATAAATATGTTCATTTAAGAGGAAAAACTAGATATCTATTAAGTTCTAGTTTCACAAGAGGCCTAAACATTATATACACACACACTCTCCCCTCCCCAAAATAAAATGCTTTTAAAAATATTAAAACCAAAATCCTCAGAATGGATAATCATTAAGTTTAAACATCTGGATCCTCAGTATTAAAATGAAGCTCTGGTATCAACTTAATACAGTTACATAAAATAATAAAATCTGTTTTCAAGCCCTGTTCCTTAATTCAGTATTTCAGGGATAAGTAAACTTAAATCATAAGATGGAATAATCACACGGGGATATAAAGTACCAAAAGTAATATTCCAGGCTTGTTGCTTGGCTAGTCATCTGCTTTTCTTTCTTTCCTCTTTCTCTTCTGCCCTGAAGCTAAGGTAACAATGTGCCTCAATATTAGTTAGAAAGTACTGCTACAGGAACCTCCTGATCGCAAAGAGGCCTCAGTAAGAGATTTCCAAGGCCAGTGTAGAGTTGAAAGTTATCACTGGGTCCTTCTTAAATGTGCTTATGGTTCTGGGTTAGTAATTATCCATTGAGTCATGAGCAGACAAAACTATTTTAAGAAAGCCAACATATCATTTGCTGCTTCTGGTAGCATACTAAGCTAAAGATCTGAAAAAGGGAAATAGGCTAAAAAGTATAAAGTTTACTTTATGGCACTATAACCATACATACCCAGGCCCTTATACTGAGTGGTGGTAAAATCACTGGACTTAGAGCTAGAAAGGGTGACCTTGGACAAGTTATCTACCTCTCTGAGACATTAGTTTTTCATTTTTAAAATGAGATCTGTCTAAATAACCCCTGAAATGCCTCCTCCTTAAAACAAAAACTATGATTTTATCTTTCCATCCATCCATCCATCCATCCATCCATCCATCCATGCATCCATCCATCCATCCACGCATCCATTTAATTAAACCCCTTCTCTTTTGTTAAAGCCAGTCAAAGACACTGACAGTTGGTAAATCTGTATGGAAAAGGCACTTTCCATTACTCCCAAAATGATAAAGGTAAGCAATCTTATGTAAAAAGTATTACAAGGCAGATTTCTGCATACGAAAGGTTGGATCAGTCACAAAGAGGTTACTGTTTCTAGTTTTTATTTTTCTTAATGACTAACGTCAGATATTTCAGAGTTGAATATTTAGAACTAGGAACACTGCTTTGGAGCTTAAAGCCAGAATAATTTCTGTCCTATCATTTGAGAATGTTGATTGCATTATATAACTTTTAAAAAAAACTTATTTAGCTACACACATAAAAATAAGAGGATACTACAGTGGCAAAAACAAAAGGTACATTAATAATGTAAAAGGAAAAATGCCAAGTGAGTCAATTCTCATCTAAAAACAAAACATTGAGACACAATAGGACATGTTTTTTGATGCAAACAGATGCAGTCCATTGGAGACAATGTGCCACATGAAGAGCACAGCAAAATGGTTAAGTGTGTGGACTTAGTGAGGCAAGCTCCATCAGGAGCTTAGTTTTACCATTTACTACTGTGGTGAGCCTGGACACAGACTCTTACTGTAAAATGAGACTTACAAGGAGGGTCAGATGAGATGTATGTACACTGGCAACTTAGTAAAAGGCTTGGCATGCAATACATCCTCAATAAATGATAGCCAGGATTGTTAGAGTTGCTATTACTATTAGAGTAAAAGAAATATTTGCTGACCGAATGATTTAAGTATCAGTTAGTGACATAAGTGAACTATGGTAGAAATATTACTTAGTTTTAAAATGAAATGCATACCTGCCACAAGCTCTACAAGAACACTAGCCAAAAAACAAAGTTCTGAGACACTAAGATTTTAAGATCACGAGACAGGCATTTATACACAAGCAACTTACTCCAGACAAAAAAGTCCTTTCTGATGAAACAATTTACTTACCTTCCTTGTCATTTGAAGTTTGGCAACTAGAGAAAAACGCAGTTGACTGTACATGGGCACTGACATTCACATTATTGTTTTTTAATGCTGCCACAGTCTGATTAACCTACAAAATAAGCAAAAGGCATTTTCAACTATAACAACTTTTAAAATTCTATAACTTTCCAGATGGTTGCCAATCCATTTAAGAGAAGTATTTGAGGGCCTAGAAATATCTTTACCAGATATCAGAAGATCAGAGAGGACAGTTGAGAAAAGACCACCACTCTGGGACATCTCAACACATGGATGTCCTCAGGCCTCCAGTCTGAGAGAACATATTGTAGCAAGTGAGAGCTCTAACTCTGGAGTCAGGCTGCTTGGGTTTGCTCTGCAATCATGGGCTAGTTACTCAGTTTTTTTGTGCGATATCTGTGAAATGGGAGTAAAAATAGTACCTATCTTAGGATTGCTGTGAGGATAAATGAGTAAAGTCCTTAGAACAGAACCAAGTACAACATATATATGTAATAATTTTCTAAACAGATTAATATAAATTTCCTACTTTCTAAGAATTTAAGAATAGTAACAATAAATGCAAACTTGCTATTTATGTCATTATCATTTGCTTAAAATACAAAGTAAATGCCAAGATTCTGTTCAGCATTTATAATGAACATTTATACTGTATATACATATATCTACACATCTATATAGAATTCTAGTACAAAGATCAATGAAAAATGAAATGTGAGCGCAGTTTTAAAACCTTTTCACTACTTTTTATAGCAGGAGCCTAATTCTACAGGGTTCATTTCCATGTTTCCAAGTCCAGTGTGCCCAGTAACATTGATGGAGGACAAGAATAGGAGAAAAAAACTTTTAAAAAGGTGCACCACAAGACCAGAAACCTGGCTCACATAAGGAGGTGGGGGCAGAAGAGATTATTATAACCAGATGCAGAAACTAGTATCCCAAAGCCCAGACAACACTAGTATCCCGAGGCATGGTCTAAAGATATGGAAACTGAGCCCAACAGACCCCAAAGTTAAAGACAAGGAGATTGAGCCCATTGTAGAATCTCTAACCCCTTTCAAATTCTACGTAGTTATCCAAAATTAGCAACCAACTGAGGGCTCACAAGGCGTGAGCCCCTCCCAAAGAGAAGAAAACTACATCAGAGCAGTCTCTGCACTGGCTCAGGGCAGCAATCCCACTGTCCACGTGTGACTATGAAGGTGCCTCTTTTCACCAACTCTCTCCCTCTGCAGGGTAGCAGCTTTCTGCCACCCGCCTGCAAACATGCAGGCCTCTCTTAGCAAACCTGTCCTTTCTAGGGCAGCTCTTCCTGCCCGCTTGTGTCTATGCAAGTGTCTAACTATTTTATCCCTTCCCTAATAAACCTGCCCTTTAAATATAACTAATGTCTCTGTCTCGTGGAGCAACTCGCCTGGAAAACTCACTGCATGTCACTGAAACAGGAGCTCTGGTGAAACCTTCCCTAGAGTGAACCCAAGGACCCCTACAAACTAGAATGTTTTCACCTACAAGATAGAGCATATGAAGAATCAGTACCGGTATCTATAGAACTTATAAAAACTTTGTCATCAACAGATGTGATCTGGTGAGTTTCTTAATGGTGTGAAAGTGCACAACAGCTTTAGATAAGTGGCTTTCAAAGGTATTTCTTTTTTTCCCACAGCCCACAGTAAGAAATACACAGCAGCCCGATACTCAAATATATACCTAAATACATGCTTTATAGAGCCACACTTCACACTTGCCCTTATTCTGTACTCTATCTTAATATATCTTTTCCTACCCTAACATTTCCCATTCCAAGAGAAATATAGGTAATGACCTATAAATTGATTTGAAAATTACTTTTCCAGATCTTATACAAGTCTGGTATTTTGGATCTGGAAGACACAAGGTTTGCCTGAAAGATGATCCCACCGCAGCATGGAGATACCGAGAGTGGGACACACTTCCTCTAGGTGTGAATCCCACTGTCTTAGTGCCCTGCCTGGTTTGGTATGGGTAACATCAACCTCTAAGATAACTGTAGGATTTACAAGAGCAAATGCACATCAGGCCTGTACTGTCTGACTTGGAAGACTCAAATCTATACCAACAAATGTCAAGAACTTTTTTTTATTTATTGGGTCACACAGAAATGGGTTGCAGGTGACAGGAAAACATCGAGGTAAATCCAGAGATCACAAGTTAGGGAGGATAAAAAGCAAAAGACTTCGACTCACACTTGGATAGCTTGAAAATTTTCCTCTTTAGTGTTATGCACAAGATGGGCTTTGGATTCAGATTTACCATCTTCTCCAATTATTAAAAAGGAAATTACACTTTTTATGCCAACAAGTACCGGAGAGGCACTATACCTTTTTTCCCAGCCATTTTAATGTCTTCTCTTTGCTGTACTTGTAATATTTCTTGTTGCCTATTTCTACATTGAATTAAAAAAAGAAAAAAAAGACAGCATTGGATTAAGCAACATGTAAAATCATACACAAGTTAAAATTTAAAAATATTTCACAATAATTTATATTCTTGAAAAGCTCCTGAGAGTATATTTGAGACATTTAAAAAAATCCAAACAGAATTTGAGTATCTCAAACTTCTTCCAATCATTGAGAATTAAAAAAAAAAACAACACATCAAATTATACAAGCAAATCTATAGAAAAGGTAACTTAAAAAACTCAGTAAACACCAAACAACCTTCAGTTCTCTGAATACTTTTAATCTCACCACAATGTTGTCAATGAAAGATTTCTGAAATAAAATGGAAATGCCAAGAAGGAAAACTGAAACTAAATTTAGGTGAAACTTATAAAAACTTTGTCATCAACAGATTTGATCTGGTGAGTTTCTTAATCATGTGAAAGTGCACAACAGCTTTAGATAAGTGGCTTTCAAAGGTACTTGTTTTTTTTCCACAGCCCACAGTAAGAAATACACAGCAGCCCGATACTCAAATATGTACATAAATACATGCTTTATAGAGCCACACTTCACACTTGCCCTTATTTTTAATACTTTTTAAGTTCATTGCAAAAATTCAGGGGGAAAAAATTTTGTTAACTACTTAGTACTGTCCTGGTAGAATTAGTGGAGTATTTTAATGCATTAACAATATAATCACACCTATTTCAGGGGAATTTATATTTATGGTAAACTCAACCTTGCCCTTTATGGGGATAAAAGTTTCACATCTTATAAATTATACTTCTCCTCACAATCCATCTAACTTTATACACACCATTATTAAACCATTGTTTCTTAGGTAACATTTTATTCACTGGTTTCTAAATTTCCATACAATCAGCAAGGCAACTCTCTGCCTCCTGCTCCCAGGCAGGAGTTATCTTTGTGATCAATGGAAATCCTATGAGTAGATGCAAACTTGCCAAATGTAACTCTGTGGGGACTGTCCAAGATTATACAGAATAATATTTTCTCTTTTTCTCCTCCATACCTGTGGTGGTAAAAACTGTTTACCTAGTGATCACTTCTGCAGTGTTAAACAGCTTTAGTTGCACTAAATGGTTTATATGGGAGAGGGTCTGGCAACTTCCTGGCCTTAGTTCCTGTCCATTTCCTCAACATTTCAGCCTGTGGTTGTCAACATGGTGGGTAATAAAATGCAGGGGTCTTGACCTTTGCTCCCATCTTCTCAAAAGACCTGTCACTGCAATAATAAAAAGGAGGGACAGATGCTAAGGGCACTCTAACAGAAGTTTAAGAACTCCATGGACAACACCTACTATCCGGGGCCGAGATCATCTGAGCACACAGCCTGCAGTGGAGTCGACTTTCCTAGAGACAATGTCCTAACCCATTTACATTAAGGGGAAATCTAAGCATATACAGCAGTCACTCAAATAATGCATGCTACTGAATGGATTTTAGACATTCTATTCATTGCCTAAAACAATTAATCTCCAAAGAAGCTCAGTGCCTCAGGTCTCTCCTCAGAAATCAACCTTGACTCCACTTCTTTCTTCTCCCTTGCTCTACCTTTAAATTTCCTAGAATAATGTTCTGCAATCTGTCAGTTTCCTTCATCTTTCCCACTCCCTAAGCACACTGCAGGCAAGTTTTTTCCCTCCTGAAAATGCTCTTTTGGAAAAAGCTAAGAACACAGGCTCTGAGCTGGACTGCCTGTACTCCTACATGCCTGCCGCACAATGTCACCCTGGGAAGTCGCCTATTAAATGTAATGATCCATACAAATCCAAAAGCACACTACCTGGCACACAGCACATACTTAATATTAGTTAAAATTATGAAATGACAACTTGCTAATGATAACAGTATCATAAACTAAAGTATATTTAGGTAGGCCTGTGCTAAGTGCTTTATACAGCTTTTCTCACTGAATGTTCAGAATGAATCTTTGGTGAAAACCATTATTTATACCCATTTTAAAAGACTGGAAAATAACTGTCCAAAGTTAGCTAGTAAGCAGGAGCAATAGGATTCTTAAACTGACTTCAAAGCTATGACTCCAAAGTATCTATTACTCAGGATCAATGAGGTCTTCACCCTCAGTATTTCTGACCCTGCCCTTCATGGAAAAACCTCTCCTCCATGGTTCTATAAAGCCTCTTTCTTCCATTTTTTTATGTCTCTGATGACTTTTTCTACTATTTTCTGGCTCTGCTTCCTCTGTTTCAAGACCAGCAGAACCTTTCTCCCAGGGAGATGTCAACCTGGATCAACAAGGCTGAACAAACCAAGCAGAAAGCCTGAAGCCCTGTGCTGAGCCCTATGGGTTGAAAGTCAAACTATATACCTTTCTCCCAAAACCATCCTTTTTGTTGTCCAGGCTTGAATCACACAACTGTTACTTACTCCTGCCTTTATTCAAGCAAGATTTTGCTCAATGTAATTTCTCTGAGATTTGTCCATTTTTGTTTCCGATAGCAATAGTTCTTTTCTTTGTATTACAAAGTAGTATTCCATATACGGATTTCCCTATTTACCCACTAACCTACTGGAGAGCATAGAGGTTGTTTTCAGGCTTTGACTATTTTTAAAATGTTGTTACAAAAACAAAGACTTCTCTGAATAGTCTTACACAGTCTCTGCATGGACATATTTTTTCATATGTTGGGTAAGTACCTAGAGATCTAATTACTGAGTTGTAAGAAATTGTAAAGTGATTATATAGCATTTTATGCTTTCACCAGTCAGGAGAGTGAATTCTAGTTGTTCCACTTATTGTCTGTTTTTTTTTTTTAATTTTACCCAGTCTGGTGGATATTAATGATACACTTTTGTGATTTTAATTTATATTTTCCCAGTGACTAATAATATTGAACATCCTTTCATGTACCTAGGGCTATTCAAAATCTTCTCTCATGAAGTGTGTGTTCAAATTTTTGTTGTATATCATCTTATTATTGTATTAAACAAATTCTTTATATTTGGGATATATCTTTTATGAGATGTATGTTGCCTCAACATTTTCTTCCATCTATGGCTTATTTTCTTTTTTTTCTTAATGTCTCTTAAAAACCAAAGATACTAATTTTGATGAAATGTAACTTATAATTTTTTATGGCTAGTTCTTTTTGTGGCCTATCCTAAAAGGTCACAAAGTTTTCTTTTAGAAGTTCAATGTTTTCATTTTTTTGTATTTAAATATGATCCATTTTGAGAGAATTTTTTGGTATGACTATGAGGTGAGGGTGAACTTTAATTGATTTTTATGGCATTCACCCTCCAGCGCTTCTGACTGTACCCAGTGCTTGTATAAATAAATAAAATAAATCTTTAAAAAAATTTATTTTGTATATTAAAGGTCATTTGCATAGTCATATAAATTCTAGAATTAGCTTATCAATTTCTATCACAATTAACAAAACCTGATAGGCATTACATAAAATCTACAGATCAATATAGAAAAGAAAGGACACTGTAATAATATTATGTCTTCCAATTAATGAACATCATACACCTCTTTACTTAATTCTCCTTTAACTTCTCCCAGCAATGTTTTCTAATGTTCAGCATACTGGTTTTGTACAAATTGTGTTACATTTATCAGTAGAACTCTATCATTTTTTTACATTATCCAGAGTGTGTTTTTATTCCACTGTCCATTGCTTCACTATCAGTATACATAAATACAGCTGATTTTTTTATTAGTAAATATATTTAATTAAAATATATATAACATCATTATTCATTTTTGTATAATGTTTGATTTTTCCTCTCAGGTGTAGTCCCCATAAAATTCCCACCACCAAGTCACCCATGAACCATCACTATAGTCTCTTGTGCTTTTCCCTCCCCTATTTCAATCCCTTTCCCTCCACTTCTCCTATTATATATCTCTGATATAGTCTGCCTACCAAATTTGTCTCTTTTTTTTTTTCTTCACTGCCTCCTTGGTTTCCCTATATACCTCCTATAAGTGAAATCATCCAATATTTTCCTTTTTCCTTCTAACTTATTTCACTGAGCATAATCCCTTCCAGCTCCATCCATGTTGCTGTGAATGGCATGAGTTTATCTTTTGGATTGCTGAGCAGTATTTCATTGTATATACATACACCAGATCTTCTTGATCCAGTAATCTATTTTTGGACACTTAGGTTGTTCCCATATCTTAGCCATTGTAAAAAGTGCTGCAATGTACATACGAGTGAAGGTTACCTTTTGAATTATTTATATGGTAGACCAATTTTTAGTAATCCCAGGGTCCTCTACACAGTTTTCCATAGTGGTTGGACCAGTGTGCATTCCCACCAGCAATGTACAGGGTTCCATTTTCTCCACATCCTTGCCAGCATTTGTTGTTGACATACAACTGATTTTTGCACATTGACCTTGTATACTAAGACCTTAGTTCTAATGAATATTTTTGTAGATTTTTCTGTCTTCTTTATATATATGGCCACATTATTTATAAATTTAGTGTCACTATTTACTCTTCAAAATGTATGCCTTTTTATCTCTTTTTCTCATCTTATGGAACTTTCTAGGACTTCTATTATTATGGTGGATAGAAAAGTGTGTTCAGCCTTTTAAGATAACTCATGATATTAGCTTAGGTTTGTCATAGATGCCAAATTTGCAGAAATTTCCCCATATCCACAGATTCACTTTCTGCTGTTTAGTTACCTGTGGTCAACTACAGTTCAAAAATATCATATACAATAAGATATTTTGAGCGAAAGATAGCAACCATATTCACTTTTATATAATTTTTATTATAGTATATCATAATCATTTCATTATTACTTAATGTCAATCTGTCATAGTGCCTAATTTATAAATTAAACTTTAACATAGGTATGAATAGGAAAAAACATGGTATACATAGTGTTCAGTATTATATATGGTTTCAGGCATCCTTTGGGGAATGTATCCCCCTTGAATAAGGGAGGCAGGTTACTGTATCAGACTGACGAAATTCCTTTCTACCTCTAATTTG